CCCGCCTCGCCAATTGTCCATAAGACCGCTGCGATAGGCTCCAGCACGCCCACGACCCTCGTGAGGATAAGCAGATTAGACAATGGATGGATGGTTGGATATATTCTTTAAAAACGATAGATTTCTGGAATTAATTCACGGAATTCATGTCTTATTTATTGAAACTTTTAATCTATTATGTGACACATATATTTTATTATTGGCATCTAAAATGGGGATTATACTTTACCCATTTAATCGTTGTACATGACCATTTTAATTATTGAAGGCATTTTCACTTTTTTTATTCATTGTTTAAACGTAATCGATTGAAAAATATAGCTTTAATGACATATGTATTTCATGAATAGCCTTTTTAGAGTAAATGAGTGAATACCGTGAGCGACGTCTGAGAGCCGGGATGGATCCAAATGTTCTCAGGATGGGCCGGAACACCGTCGCGTTGGCTGATGAACTGGGCGAGGTTCTCCACTATTTCGAGAATGCCTCCTGTGTTTGTATATGAGCCTGAAGAAAAATACGGTGGTTGACTTCTGAGCACGTCCGCCTCTCAGTGCAGAAGTCTTGGGTTCATATCTGCCTGTGGGTTTCTCCAGGTACTCCAATTTCCTCCCACATTCCCAAAACATGCATGGTAGGTTGACTGAATGCTCTAAATTGTCCCTTGGTGTGATTGTGAGTACAAGTATTTGTTTGTCTATGTGTGCCCTGCGATTGGCTGGCAACGAGTTCAGGGTGTACCCTGCCTACTGGGGAAGACGGCTGGGATAGTCTCCAGCACGCCAGCGACCCTCATGAGGATAAGCCGATCAGATCATAGTTGGATGATCTTTCCCAACTTACCAACACTACCGCCATCGCACCAGCGGAGCAGCTTCTGTGCCCGCCGTTTAACGTCCATGGGCAGATTGCCGCCGTCCAGGAGTTGTGGGTATATACAAGCAGCAAGCACCTGCTCCACCATACGCACGTCAATTCAAATGGACGTACTTAAAAATGCGTTCTCATCATCCATCTTTGTTACCTGTCTGACAAAGGTGAGAGGTTTCATGCCGGCCCCGTGAGGGTCACCCCAGCAGACATCTATCACATCCTTGTAGGGCTTCTTCTCTCCCTGGATGTCACATTTGCTTGGAAAATTACAAATCGTAGCACATTTTGTCAAGTTTGAAAACCTTTTTTACCTGCTCCAGCATCTTCTTGATGTGAGCTGCTCGTTCCATCAAGGCCACCATCTGGTTTGGCCTCACAGTCCTCACGTGGGAGCTCATCTCCGTCCTGTCCGTAGCTCCTTTCGGACGTCCAAGTGTGTGCGTGTCAGAGGGAGTTCCTGGTTAAAGTAACAGGAGGAGGGAACATGTACTTCATTAACAGGGATGATTATTGGTTTGTATTGAAGGCTGTAACCTGATTGGGCACCAGTTGACCCCTTGGTTCATTTTTAACTTTCATTTGTTTCCATTATGAATACATGTATCAGTCTGCATGCTTTCCTGTATTTCAAAAGTAGAGACAGTTACTGTGTCACCATCGGTGCAAGGTGTTAAACATTAAATGTTTTAAATCCTTGTAATCATTGAACCTGTTCAAACTTCTGTTGTGCATTGCAGCCGGCTGGTTTCTTCGGTGAGTCTAAATGAAGGAATGCTTTCTATTGTTAGTTGTTAAATCTCCTCACTGACTTAGGGCAAGAGGAGCGATACGCCCTGAACTGGTCTCCAGCCAATAGCGTACACACATACAGACAAACAACCATTGTCACACTTGTGCTTGGGGTCCAACAGACTTGAAGTTGGGTTTTATTGGACAGTGATTTTAAATTGGAGCCTCTCATTTTTCAACAGCACTTAGAAACAGTAACCCATGCCTTCATTACATCTCAGCTGGATTACTGACATCCACTTTATTTGGGAGTCAGATGGTCCTTCCACAAGTGTCTGCGGTTGGTCCAGAATGCTGCTGCTCCCCTCCTAACTGAAACTCGTAGGAGGGTGCACATAACTCCAATTCTGTATATCTCTCCAGTTTCACGGTCTTGTCCCACCTCACTCTCTGAACTCTCCACCTCAACGTACCTGCCAGGTGCCTCAGGTGGGTGGACCTGGCAACACTGGCTAAGCAAAGGTTCAGAGGGGATCGAGTTTTTTTTTCCGTTGCCGGTCCCTCCCTTTGAAATGAGACTGCGTTAAAGCATGTTATCGTTTTAGGCGCCATGGTTTATTCATTACAATATGTAGCTTTAATATGGTTAGAGATAAATACAAACCGTAAATATTGATTGGTGCAATTTTTCTGCTTTGGCGCTTCAAGGGTTAAATGATCAATAGTAACGCTTATATTGTGTTCGGGACCGAATTGACCCGTTTTCAGTTTAACAGATGGGAACAGCTTTCGAACACAATACAAGGAAGGGGTAATTATATTTTATTTTTCGTTATTTTGGATTAAGTTAGATCTTTCTTTTTTTTTTTTTTTTGCTTAATTGATTTGCACACACCCAAAAAAGCCTTAAATAAAGGTTTTCAAATATTTGTATCATTTTGTTGAATTTAACATTTAATGTACTCATGTTTTGTTCAGCGCTTTGTTACAGCTTCAGCTGTTGTGAAAGCGCTATATAAATCAGGATGTATTGTATTGTATTGTATTATGATTGATTTCTCAATTAATATTCATTTTCATGCAGTGGGAGGCAGTAGAACTTTTCTCATTCGAAATATTACGCAAAAACAGAGACGAAGAATCTCGCGTTGTTTCCTGACGGAGCGAAATCGTGCACGAACGTACGTTCTTCGCGTCTACTTCCTGTTTTGTTTCGTCTCTCCTTTCGCTACCTTGTTGTGGCTCGGTTCGGGTCGAAATGGAACAATTATTCGGGCAGGCGGACAAATACGACCGGCTCACGAGCACACGCCATTTTATCTCCCATCGGTGGAGTTTCTAAGCAGTACCGTCGTCGCTGACGCTCTCCCGGAGGGGCTTCCCAAGCCCCACACGTCCGCGGGGCGACATGGCACTCAGCTCGGGCGGCTGGGCTCCGCAGGTCTCGTTGCTCGGTGCTTCCCAGTCCGGAGCTTGCGACGCCGGGCTCGCTCGGTCGTCGGCTTGCTGCAGCACCGTCTTGATGTCCGTCCGCGTGTCAGTGTCCCACTCCGGTGCTCGCCCCTTGTGCCTGCCCGGAGCCGACAGCGAGGCTCTGCGCCTCCAGCTCAGCATGGATCCCAGCCGGGCCGGAGAGTTTCGACTGGCCCTGCGGGATACAAGCGGGAACCACAATGTGGTGAGGTTTCATCTTAAAACGCCGGATTGCTTCTTACTGACGTAACTGTTCTTTATAATGTATATATTTTTCCGTAACATTTTCAGGAAGCACCAGTCATAAATACTTTATTGAAAAGGCTGCCACTTATTTTTTTTTTAATGAGTATTTTTGTGTTGGTTTGAGTGACATACGACGTTAATATACCATTTTAACCCTTTCAGGGACAGCGGTTACTACTGTGGACACTGGACATCTTATCATGTTACCAGGTTACAGGGTGCATGAAAGGGTTAATACATATCTGTGACATTTTAAAATACTTATACAATTACAAAGAAGACATCATCAAACTCAGACCCAAAAATCTCATTTAAAACAGATTTTAGCAGTTATATTTGATATATCAATTGGTCATCAAGAGAAAACAGCCACTCAGAGCATTTTACATTCTATCATTGTGCTCCCCGTCAGCGGGGTGCGGAGCGCCCCCGGAGGTGGCTCACGGCTCACCAATGGGCGTCACCAGAGATCGCTACGCCGTCAACTCCAAAGTGCGCTACCAGTGTCAAGCGGGCTACACGCAGCGCCACCTACCTGTCATACGTTGTATGGAAAATGGACAGTGGGAGAGTCCACAAGTGGAATGTACAGAAAGTGAGTTTTACAACTATGGGGCCATTTTGTGCAAAAAATATTCCTTAATTTAAAAACAGGCATACAATTTTGATTGTTAAAAAAAAAACTTGTCTTTAGCATACCTTCCCTGCGCCCGCCATCACTGCTTTTGATGCATCTAATCATACTAAAGCCTTTGCCGACTTTCATCGGAAGGGAGAAATGCTGTTTGAATTGTTCTCGTTTTGCCAATACGCGCACGACTCAAAATTTTCTCTCCAACAGCTGGCGGCAACAGGCTACACAAACGATCGGTGAGGAGCAGAAGTCGAGGAGTCAGCAGCCGACGGGAGTAGAGGAAGACCCTCTGAGCAGCTGGACTGAATGAAGTACAAGTGAGAATCACAAAAAAAGGACCCCTCTCGTGGACACCAACGCTAATGCCCGACCAAAAATAAAAGGCATTCCGCTCAGCTTCCAATGTAAATACAAGCACGAAAACACATTTAGACAGTAAAGATGCAACTGACTCACGTTCCCTCCTTCGGTGTCTTTAGTGAAGGCACTTACATTATTTTATTTATAGAGTCTATAATTTATAGCTGTAACTCATGTTGTCCATGCACAAGTACTCCTGGAGGAGTCACCAGAAGCCTTTGAAAGTGTTATTGATTGCAAATGGTAGCGTGTTGCTGTATTTTTGGCCCTTTTTTTTCTGGGTCTGTGTTTGTACTTTTTGTTCCCCGCTGGCTACTTTTTCAAAGATTTTATTCCAACACTGTGATTCTCAAGTGACGTCATCAATGATCAGACTCATGTAGTGCAGGGCAATGTTTTTTATGATTTGTTTTGAGGGGGTTTCGACCCACAACATTCCATTTGTCCCCATAAACTGGTTCACAGTTATGAACAAACTGCTCCCTAATAAATTGAGGACAGGAAAGGTTTACCGATGACGGAATCATTTTTGGATTTTTAGGAAAACGCATTCGTGAGGTTCATTGAAGACTCAGAATTATGTTTGATGTTTTAGGAAAGCGTGTTGAATTGGATTTGCAAAAAAAGCCCCATCAAACTACAAAACAGCTGGGTTTAATAGTTTATTAATTAGCACTTATCAAAATGTTGCAGTCTGATGTTTACAAAAACGTTGGTTTCATCGAGGACTAAATGGCCTTTAGGTTACTTTACTTTGCGTTTGGCAAAATGTGTTTGTTTCGTTTAACTGAAGACTAGTCTAAATTGTTTTGATGTTCACAAACTAAATAAATAAATCATGGTTTATTGAAGATTACATTTTCCAACTCTTGCGTAGGGTTTGAAATAAACTCTTTTCAAAATAGTTTATCTTGACATGTGTGCTTTGAAAACTAAATTCTCACAACGGAAGTTAGTTTGACGTAAGACTAAATTGTCTTTCCTGCAGACGAAAACGCAATCAGTTGTACTGAACGTTTGTGAAAATGCGTACATTCGATTGATTGCTGACCCTAAATAATTTTACTCTTTCGTAGGTGTGGATATCGTTTTTCTTTTTTTATTTTTAATTTAACATGCAAGCACAAGTCCGAAGTCAACGTGCTCGTCTGTGAATAAAAACTCACGTTTGAAGAGTGACTGAGCGGAGACCCATCGCTGGCTTCACGCATGGGACTCGATGTAAATATTCGACACTGCAACTGTGTGAACAGCAGGATCTGTCAACAACTTTGTCATTATTCATCCTGTGTGCGGCTATGTTGAAACAAGTGCTAGCATGACGTCATTAGTCATCGGTTACTTCCTCATGGAACCGGATGAATTTGATTGGTGAAGGTGGTGAGGGAAATTTAAAATTCGTTTGTGGCCGTGTTTGCATAACTCGTTGTTACAGTTTGTTTTGTTTTTTTTTTTTTTTTTTGCTTAATTGATTTGCACACACCCAAAAAAGCCTTAAATAAAGGTTTTCAAATATTTGTATCATTTTGTTGAATTTAACATTTAATGTACTCATGTTTTGTTCAGCGCTTTGTTACAGCTTCAGCTGTTGTGAAAGCGCTATATAAATCAGGATGTATTGTATTGTATTGTATTGTATTATGATTGATTTCTCAATTAATATTCATTTTCATGCAGTGGGAGGCAGTAGAACTTTTCTCATTCGAAATATTACGCAAAAACAGAGACGAAGAATCTCGCGTTGTTTCCTGACGGAGCGAAATCGTGCACGAACGTACGTTCTTCGCGTCTACTTCCTGTTTTGTTTCGTCTCTCCTTTCGCTACCTTGTTGTGGCTCGGTTCGGGTCGAAATGGAACAATTATTCGGGCAGGCGGACAAATACGACCGGCTCACGAGCACACGATTTTTTATCTCCCATCGGTGGAGTTTCTAAGCAGTACCGTCGTCGCTGACGCTCTCCCGGAGGCTTCCCAAGTCGGGCGGCTGGGCTCCGCAGGTCTCGTTGCTCGGTGCTTCCCAGTCCGGAGCTTGCGACGCCGGGCTCGCTCGGTCGTCGGCTTGCTGCAGCACCGTCTTGATGTCCGTCCGCGTGTCAGTGTCCCACTCCGGTGCTCGCCCCTTGTGCCTGCCCGGAGCCGACAGCGAGGCTCTGCGCCTCCAGCTCAGCATGGATCCCAGCCGGGCCGGAGAGTTTCGACTGGCCCTGCGGGATACAAGCGGGAACCACAATGTGGTGAGGTTTCATCTTAAAACGCCGGATTGCTTCTTACTGACGTAACTGTTCTTTATAATGTATATATTTTTCCGTAACATTTTCAGGAAGCACCAGTCATAAATACTTTATTGAAAAGGCTGCCACTTATTTTTTTTTTTAATGACTATTTTTGTGTTGGTTTGAGTGACATACGACGTTAATATACCATTTTAACCCTTTCAGGGACAGCGGTTACTACTGTGGACACTGGACATCTTATCATGTTACCAGGTTACAGGGTGCATGAAAGGGTTAATACATATCTGTGACATTTTAAAATACTTATACAATTACAAAGAAGACATCATCAAACTCAGACCCAAAAATCTCATTTAAAACAGATTTTAGCAGTTATATTTGATATATCAATTGGTCATCAAGAGAAAACAGCCACTTTAAGGGGTACTCAACAGTGTTGCCACAGTTACCCTGAAAAAGTAACTTAGTTATTTTACTGCATACTTGCTTTAAAAAAAATAGTCAACCCTTGGGTAACAATGACGTTCCGTTCCGACAGAGGCCATGGTAATTTGTGCCATAATAAATTCACAATTATGACAAAGATTTGCTTGAAAACACATTCAACGGTCTAATGCAAAACAGTCCATATGGCGGTAACTTGAGCATGCCTGGTGCTGCTGCGCCGTTTTGTAGATCAGGAATGTTGTAACTCAACAACCCCTTGGACAGTAATGCTCGATCGAGCATAATCCAAATGATGTAGCAATCGCACAAAAATGGCTTTCGTCAGTAGTTTGTGGGCTTTGTTACCGTATTTTGTGTCCATAACTGTTTGTAAATGGCATCACAATACAAGTGACTATGTGAACTGTGGTTACACTAATTACATGTAATCAATGGGGAGCAGCAAGTTTCACTTGAGAGCAGTTTCTTGGATTTGTTTACTTGCTGACGGCTATTAAATTGGGTATCTCTGCTGCAATGGTGACTCACCTGAAGATAGATGGGTGATGGCATCTCCTCCAAGGACTTTGCACATTTTAAGAGTGTGTGTTAAACGATGTCAGATGTGTATTACAAATTAAAAGTCACGTAAAACTGGAGGGAAACAGCAAGCAACTGAGGCAGACCAACCCGAACCAATATTTGGCGTCAACCTAGATGCTCACAACATTGTGGAGTGACTTTATCAGAGTCTACCGGAATGCTAATTGTTGTTCGAGACATCTCCACGCTCATCTTAAGAAATACCACATCGGAGAGACCGTTTACGTGCCTCTATGGCTTTTTCCGTTTTGTTACGTATCGCTGCAATTAAGTGTTTCATGTCTGGTGTGCATCATCTGCGTCATTTTGAATTTGGTAAGTCCTCTCTGATGCCAAGGAACCATGTTTACATGCAGTGAGTAGCTTCATTTAGTCAGATCAAAGCCGTTTATTAGAGAAGTACTGCTATGCCGCCATTTTGTGGCCACTGCAGGCTATTTAACTTTTTTTGGGAGAGCGTCAATAGTTAATTTCGAACCGATTAAGTGGGGATGGATAATTTCCCGCGGCACGTTTGACGACCTCTCACGGAGCACTGGCTGGGAATTACTGGATTTAAGGGCCGTAGAGAGGGGAAGGGGCGCATACTTCCGCTCATAAATATTTGATCATGTTTTTCAACAACAAATTCACTCATCTGTCTTTTGTACCAAAACATGCAAAATAGCCTGTTAGTCACATAGTAAACACTCCTGTCCACTATTTGAGTAATTTGGCTGAACTGTAAGTTATCTTTTTTTTTCCCCTCCCCTCATGCAGTTGGTGGAGTTCGACCTACGCTCGGTGCACTACGAGGTGAAGTCGGCGCGCTGCCACGAGATGCGTCTGACGACGCCGCCTCACGACTTTATCCGCTTCTCCTTCCGCTGTGACCGCGAGGCTGAGGAGTGGGCCACTGTGGTCATGTCGTCACTGCGAGAGGCCCAGCGGGGTCGGTTTTCACTTTCTTTGTTTGTGACGTAGGTACGTCGACAAGTAACCGACATTTTTCCCAATTTTTTTTTCCATTTCTTCCAGTTGCAAACATGGCCAACTACGAGGCAAGCGGCAAGCAAACAGAGGCCGTTGCCGCCGCCACTGAACCGTCGCTGCCGCTCGCCGGTGGGTGTCGCCACTCCTCCGTTAACGCCACAACACGTTGACTCACTTTGCCACCTCTTTTAATTTTCTTTAGAGGAGCTTTGCGTGGAGCTCGTCAAGGCGGTGGAGGCCGGCGACTCTCAAGCCGCCGCTCAGCACGCATCTGCACTTGCCCGGCAGAAAGCGGCTCTGAGCATCCAGCTGGCAGAGAAGAACTACGCCAGCGGGGAGATCAGGTACACGCACAAGAGTGGAATTTGAATTTGTACCCTGCTTTGAAGTAATAAGAATAATAATAAGAAAACCTTTTTTCGTCTCACAATGGAGAAATTGCCAATTTACAGCAGCAAATTTATAAAAGGAAGAAAGTAGAAGAACAAAAAGTATAGGAGCTGCTGTAAAGGCAGCCACTCCTGCGGCGCCATCTTGAAGTCATAAGAACATAACGATATAATACTACACAACACATAAGACACAGTCATTCAATCTTAACCACTTTTGCATACACTTTGTGGTTTGAAGAAGTTCTAGATGAAAAAGGAGAGGATCAAAGTGTCCTTTCACCAGTGGATCAGGGACATCATGCTCAAAATGTGCACACATCTGCTACAAGCTAAGTTTTGAAAGCAAACAAGAAGCTGTAGCGTCCATTGACGAAAAAAGAGATTGGCTCACATCTCCTGTCCCATGTAAATCCGCTTCAATTCCAAGCCGCGACTCCCAGTTCCAAATGCGCATCGACGCTTGTGCGTTTCTTCTCATTGTTGGCTCCACAAGCCATCCGTCCATCCATCCAGCCGCAGACTGCCCAACAGCACCGACCTTTCCGCTGAGCAAAGCGGGGCTGTGAAAAATGCTGCTGCCCATTTTCAGGCGCAAAACAGAAGTGCCCCAGGGCTGTCCAGCAACGGCAATCAAATGGCACCGACATTCCTCCCAATCAAAATCAGTGCTGGTATACGCCTGCTGCCGAGAAGGCCCAACCACCAGGCACAGATTCTTCTGCTTTGGTGAATGTCGTGACCCAAAAAATGCTGAAAACAATCCACATCAGGTCCACATGACTAACAACAAACACAATGTGACAAAACAAAACACAAAAACAACAAAATCAACAAAAAAAGCAAGGCTCTTGAGAGCACTCGCCAACTCGGGTGCCATCTTGGACTTCAATGCACCTAATTTGTAAATAGAAGTGCACCTAATTTGAGCACACTGTTAGGTTTTGTACATGGGCCACACTTCTTTCCTATCAGCTTTGACTACATGAGTGAACATGAAAAACTTTTTTTAATGAGTATTTCATTTAGAAATTTACATTTAAAATCATTTAGTTATAGATTCATATTGTTCACGTTTCAGTTAGAGATTTAATGAAAAAGTATTAATAGAACCTCAAATATTTCTTTGTAATATTTTCAATGCGCCCGCATTAGTTTAAACACGGTATCCTAATTAATAATTTGAATAACAAAAATCCAGCTGACAGAAAATGACATCACTGGGCCTAAGCGGCTCAAGTAACGACCAATTTCAGCTCACCTGTTTTCTGGATTTGATCATGTAACGTTCACAAGCTGAGCCATGACAGGACATTACCTCAGACAATTCGACCGACACTTTAGGCACTATGCTGTCATTTTCAGTCAGTGGCAAAATGGCCACCCCCGAGATGGATTAGTGGATGGGTGGACTTTGCGGCTTAATTCATATTCTGCAAACGCAATATAAATCACAATTTTGTGTTGAGACTAGTGGGGCCGCATAGAACATATTGGAAAGAAAAAGGTTCACTCGACTTCCTTGAAACATTTTATTTTTAAAAACAGATTTTCCCCCACAAATTAAGTTATGTAATTTGTACAGATGTTACTCATATTCAAATTTTTGAAAATATTTCATTTGTCAACACGATTAATAGATTGCATTATGTGGATGGACTTTAAAAAACAGTGTAATAGTTTTAGTTTGGTGTATGCAATTAATTTAATGAACATTTTTGCTCATGTTGTTTTACATTATTTCATGAATAGTTGATTTTCAAAACATTACATGAATATATTGATTTTGAAACATGGCACATTTGCTATGGTTTTTGTTCCACTTTGGAGATTCCATTCTATGTGAAAATTCCTTGTCACTGATTAAGACTAATCGAACAATAAGATATTGGTTCATAGCATCATTTCAACATCTCGTTGCCTTCCAGCCTGTCTGTGGTGGTGGAGGACGTCTCTTCTTCCTGTTGCTTCACAGTCAAAGTCTTCCCTTACATGACGGTGGCTGCGCTCAAACAACAGGTTAAAATGCATCATAAGGGGGTTTAAAAAAAAAAAAAAAAAAACAACCACCACAAAAATCACTGAGCAGCAGCCGTTACCTCCCACAGGTGTTTGTGGAGTACGGCTTCCACCCACGCGTGCAGCGCTGGGTGATGGGTCAGTGCCTGTGCACGGACCCCCGCTCACTGGCATCCTACGGCGTACAGCGCGACGGCGACACGGCGTACCTCTACTTGATCTCGGCCCGCCAGGCCCGAATCACGCGACAGCTGTTCCAGCAGGATCTGGAGGGCGCCCTGTCCGCCCTGGCCCTTCCGCCCGGCAACGGCCCCGCGTGCCAAGACCCCCGGGGCTACAGCACACTGCCGCCGCGGTTACCCCACACCAGCCAGGGTGCGTCACACGCTTGTACAATGTTTCCTCCAATTGCAGGACAATGCTGAAGATAACTTTTCAAAGTCCAGACCAGGGCAAGCTAGGCCCGATGAATCCCATTATCACTAACTGATCATTACTTTCAGCGAGCTAACATTCAAAGCAAGTGGAGGCTGAACACCAAGTTTGCTGCCATAATGGGCTGAAGAGGAACGGAGTTAATTATTACAATTAAATTATTTCATTGTTTTTGAGAAAACATTAATTTCTAGCATTACCATTTTATTTTCAAGGCAGCTTAATAACTGGTCTGCAACTTAAAGGGGGCATAGTAAATATTAACAGGAAACAAAAGCAGCAGTGTGTTTTTGGCTGCCATTTGAAAGCATTAAAAAAAAAAACAATAGCTACAATAATTAATAGATTTAATTTTCAGAAACATTTTATCCTAGAAACACTTTCTGGCATTTCAAAATGCAAAAAAAAAATAAATAAATCGGAATATTAAAAAAAATATAAAAAAAAAAAAAAAAAATCGGAATATTAAAAAATATATCTTAATAGTTAAAGTACTTTGTTGTTGAATTCCAAACAAAATCTTTATTGGTTTTTCTCTTACAGGAAGTCCCCATGGTACGAACACAATGGCTTCCAAGAGGCTGTTTGGAAGCTGAATTATTTGTAAATCAGAACACACTAAATTTCAGTCAATCATTACATTTGATATTATTAAAAAGAAGGAAAAAAAACAGTAGTATGGTGCCAGAGAAAAGTTGATGCAACGGCTGTGTGGAAAACACTGAACATCGCTTCGCCAATCACAGGACGTCAACTTGGAAGTCGAGCATACAAAAGCACCCCACCCCGATCACATTTCTCAACTATTAGTTCCATGGAGGAATTATGTCAACAATCACAACAGTAGTACTGTTCTGTACCTTTTACAGTAAAGTCAATGTGCATACGTAGACGGTGGTGGAGGAGGGAAAAGTTATTGTCGGTGAGAGGTGGACTCGTCATCACCGATTCGTTTGGAGATGTCCTAAGTGGACACTTCCCGGGGTATATATGTGGTGGATTCCTCAAAGAGCGCAAGATCAGGTGGTGCTGCCAAGGGGGTCATCCTTCGCTTTGGGGTGTGAAATGACGGCTCGCAAGCTGACGGCCAGCGAGACGTCTTCCTTCTACTCATTGTAAATGAGTGTTGGAAATGCGCGTATGGAGCCGTGTGCGCTGTGACAGAAAGCGTAACTACAGTATCTTACAGGACCCTCCTGTATTTTCTTAAAACTACTGAGCTTTAATGTTAGCACTTCATTTTAGCTATGTTGTTGTTTGTACGTGTGAAATTAGAAGAAAAAAAATGGCTTAATGTGACTTTATACCCAGTGTGAATTAATTAATGTCCATCACAGGCGGTGGCGATAAACCAGCTGACCTACAAGTTGTACTTGACATGGAGAATCTGCATTTGAGCAACAAACCTACTAGAACACAGGTAACCAACCATTAGAACCACACGTTTTAGATTCACCGTCTGCATGAAAATCTGCATTTTGTCACTCTGAGCAAAAACATTGCTCTATCATTTGTATTCCATTATTTTTAATGTTTTTAGATTGGACTTTGTTTGCAAAGTACAGTCAAACCTCGGTTTTCGAACATCTCTGTTCTCGACCAAATCGGTTTTCGACCAAAAATTTCGAGTTTCTTATGCCTTGGATTACGACCGAAATTCGGTTCTCGAACAAACGGAGCGCACTTTAATGCACCATTTGACTGCTCTCGCCTTCCTTACACGAGGAAGTGATGCTTCCTCGGGTAGACGTCCTTGTGTCGCTTTCCATTCTGAGCAGATGTGTTCAATAAACTTTTTTTTTTTTTTTTTTTTAAAGAGCCTGGTTTCAGTTTTCGAACAATTCGGTTTTCGAACAGCCTTCTGGAATGGATTATGGACGAAAACCGAGGTTTGACTGTACTGTATTCAGAAAAAAATGCCGAAATACTCAGAGGTTTTGGCGATAAGCATGATTGGTTCCCAGTGCGACGTCGACCAATGACAGCACGCTAGAGCTGTCATTAGTCGAGAGCGTGCGTAAGAACGAACGTGAAAGTGACCGCGAGCGAGCGAGAGAAAGAAAGGGTGTGATTCGGCTTGTCCGAAAAAAGCAGCCTGTCTCTCTTCACCTCGTCCTCATCAGTACTGATTAATTGTCTTATCATAAACACATCGGCTGCACGGAGATAGCTGGCCGGCCGCTTGCTGGAGGCTAACGGCGACTCCACTGTCAGAGCTTTGTAAAGTGAGGGTAACACAAGTCTCTTCGTCTCTCTCAGAAGGCAATATTGATGAATATTAATTACTGTCTTAGGTTTTATAATTAAAGATTTAAGTAAATACAGTAACTGCTGTAGTTTTTGTCTCAAATATGTACAGTATAAATACTGTTAATATATTTTAAACATGCTGGTACCCACATACACTGACAGTTACATTCCGAGCAGGGGAGCCAACACTCCATCCCGGTTTTTCACTTATTGCGGCAGGGGCACCGTCCCCATTAACCGCGATAAGTCAGGGAACACTTTATGAATAAACGGAGACAAATAGGAAAAAAATGCAGATGCATTCTTTTACATCATAGCATTTTTTTCTCCCCCATAATAAATCTGAGTGTGCAAATTATTTCTGTGCGATATATTGTGTGAAGTGAGGGTAACATAATGTGGGTTGGAGGGCCAAAATGAGTCAGGTTTTTTGGGGGCGGGTCACCAACATATACCAAAGCTGACAAAAAAAAAAAAAAGTAGCTTATTTGTGATTAATGATATTTTTAGTAGCACTTTTAGTATATTGGCCCCAGGGAGAAACTACATTGCAAAAGACAATTGGGACAGTCTGTGCTAACTCAAAACGTCCTGCTCTCCCCTGTTTCCTGTAGACGGAGTGGGCGTGTCCTTCATGCACTTTCATCAATAAGCCTTCCCGTCCAGGCTGCGAGATCTGCGCTACAGCCAAACCTGACGCACACGTCACCACCGCCCTCCAGCAGGCAGCGCACGGCGAGCTGGCCTCGAGCAGCAGCTGACCGCCCGTCGCCGCCGTCTCCTCTCACACACGCGCATACACAATGCTATGCCATTGTTGCCACAAAAACACACACACACACACACACACACACACACACACACACAGTGATTGTCAAGTGCACTGAGAGTCCTCGCAGCTGATTGGCTGTTTGAGACGTTTGAAGCACTGTAGCATAACGCCGGAGAAGAGAGTTCGGCCATTTTCTACGGACAAGACACTGAGTTTAGCCACACCTCATTTCCTTTTTTTAAATTTCATTTTTTTGGGGGGAAAAAAAAGAGGCCCTTATTTATTGGAGGGGAGGTGGTGACGGAAGATGCGGAGAAGGTTGGGATTTCTGTCAGGGCAAAACTGTGAAGTTGGTTGTTGGAGATGAGAGAGGATGTTTACAGGGTGGTTACAAGTGCTTTTACTCTTTACAAATCTATTTTAATGGACGTGTATTTTTTTTCCTTTTAAATGATTCATGATTGATGTATATTTTAGGAGCTGATTTGATTTTATTAGATTCCCTCTTTTGAGTTGTGACAGCGATGGAATGGTCTTATCAGTACACATTACTGTGTTGAAAAAAAGGACTAGTTGAATAAACAAGTAACATACCACCATGGTTGTCTTACTGAGAAAACTGAACAAAAAAACCCAGTTATTCATTAGATCAGTGTTTTTCTAACTTTTTTGAGCCAAGGCACATTTCTTTCATTGAAAAAAATCTCACGGCACACCACTCGTTGAAAATGTGAAAAAAAGCTTGTTTTAACAATTAACGTGTTTTATTGTTACTATAACCGTTTTTTTGACATTGAAGAATGACGTTGCAACAGCTTGAACTGGAATCAAATAAACACAAAGAAAAATGTATTTTATAATCTTTCATATTGTTTCACTGTCGTCCTGCATTCATGCGTCACAAGTTCGCTTGTCTCTAGTCTCAATTCCTGCATTCATGCGTCACAAATTCGCTTGTCTCTATAGTCTCAATACAAGGCAATTGGCTAGCTGTTGCTGCTCCCTAGCGGTATGGGAGGTTACTACACGATTACTTTGCCGGATGATCGACCGCGCAGGCATACAAATTGGATATTTTCCCGCGGCACACCTGACAATGTCGGTATGACGGCACAGGGTTTGAAAAACACTGCATTAGATAAAAATCACTTCCTGTTTTCAAGATTCTAAATGGAACAATTGGGCAACAGCAAATTCATAATTTGAAACTGATTAAAAAAAAAAATAACCTCACCGCTCTACAATGTACATTTCTCCTTAAATCCAAGTACAACAAGATACATAGTAACAAAGATACATCGTAACATTTTTTTTTTGTCATAAATACTACATAGTAACAAAGATACATCGTAACATTTTTTTTGTCATAAATACAGTGTTGGAGATCAGCCCATCAACATGGAATTATTACTACAATTTAGGGATGGGCACTCAAATACATTTCCTTGAATGGCTAAGGGGAGAATAAATGGGCAAAAATCAAATTATTTCCCCATGAATATCTTCCCTTTAAAAAAAACATTCAAACAGAAAACTGCTTATTCAGACCAAATCTGGTTGTAGCCAAGTAGTGCACAAAATTTTGCCTCAATTTCTTCAAGGCAAAAATCAATCAACTGACGTTGACACCCATTCCCAAATCAAAGTGGAAAAAAAGTACAGTCTTTCCTTCAGTGGAGTAACTGTCAGTCCTTGGTGGGAGAAGAACCTGAGATTACCTTTGTTGAAGGCTTGTCTGTGGTCTTACTTCCAGAAGAGGATGTTCCAGAAAAGCAGCCAGCAGGGGTACACCAACATAGCCAGCAGCGGGAAGACCAGCGCACCGTACAATGCGTGATCTAGGATCCCTTGCGAGATGACCGACAGGAAGAGCAGCCAAGTGTCCTGGAAGCTCAGCGGCGTCTCCTGCAGCTCGTGGAAGGCGAAGACTGAAAACAGCAGCGTGCAGGCCGGGCTGAGGACCACCATGACGCAGGCCGTCGGGAACCTGAGGGATACGGCACGCGGTCAGTGTCGAGTAGGGTGGTCAGGCTTATTGTGGCCGTTTTATACTTGGGCATGTGAGGCGTGACGCCGGCAGCCACGGGCACCAGCGTGAGGGCCAGGATGAAGCCCAGTGAGAAGTTGAGGAGGGCGGTGCAGCCCAGCAGCACGGCCAAGTACAGCACGGCCACCAGCTTTAGAACTCTCCAGCCCTGCTCCGTCCCTTCGCCAGACACAAATCTGTCTCACACATACACACAAAGTCAGTGCAATTGATAACTTAAGAGACTTTGGAAAAGAGTATATCAAAGAAGGGTGGGACAAAACAGCCATATCGCAATGTTTGGTCTATGGTAAGCAAGTATTTGCCATTTGGCATTTGCAAATTCATCTTTTTTTTTTTTTCCACTGTTTTTGGGTGGCGACGGGACCTATCCTCCGTTATTTGCTTTAAAACTCACCTATGTTCCTTTATTTCCACCCCTGTTAAATCTACAAACAGGACACCACACCATTCTCACTTCCCTTACAGTTTTAATAGCATGAGCGAGGCGGCACACTCCGTTGTTCTATGGTTTGGGCTTACATTGACATGCACTCGCTTAGACGCTAACATGGGACCGTCGTTTACGAGCCCCTTAAATGAGGCTCTTTTGCGTGTTTCAGAGGTAAGGTGGGTAGCAATGCATGTTGTATTAAATTATATGTTTTGAAATGTATCAAATTGTGACAAAGGAGGTGATGCGGTATTGGGTTTGAAGACATACTGCAACATATGGTGTACTTTCAAATCATATACAGCATAATAACAGCGATAGCACAGTGTAAGGTGTAGTTCTGTTTCTGAGCCACACAGGATCAATAAATGCAATATCAGCTATTCATGCAGCATCGCGCTATCGTAACATAGGGTATTGATTTTAATTCCACCAAAAATATAGTTGAGAGAAATGTCTGCTCGTGATCCACACAGTATTGATCAGAGTGACATGGCAATGTAAACTTTTGTTTATCTGCAGTATCAAGGATCGTGATATCCTAATGTGTGATATTGTTTTTTTAGTCTTGATACAATATACTAATCTTTTTGAGACAATATGTACAGAAATGCCACATAAATAATCCATTGTTTTAAAATGCACTCTATAAAAGTCACCATTTCTCTCTTAGATATTGTGAACATTATTATTATTATTATAAAATGTCCCAGGATTTTTGTCCAGGAGAGTCACAAATCACTGTGCGCTGTTACCTGTGCGTATTGTGAGGCAGAGCCAGGCCAGCCGTGTACACGGCAATGGCTGTCAGCACCACGGCCTCGGTCTCAGACACCGGGAAGTGCTCCACCGCCATCTCCTGGAAGTGGACGGGCAGTGTGTAGAGAGCCACGCCGGTCAGGTGGCTGATCACCAAAGGGGTCACCACAGACAGCACGCCAGAACTGGACTGCTTTGAGTGGGGAAGAACGTGGATTAACGTGAACGTAGAGTTGAGAACGCTGTCGTGCGTGAGGCCGTAGTCACCTGCTCCACATTGGCGACGCCATCTTCTGTCGCTGGAGGTGCTGAGAGTTCAACCCACAGATTCAAAGCCTACATTTCAGTCAAGATTCAAACCTCGCACCTTTTGTAACTTTGTTTTACCGGGCTGACAGTAAGGATACGCGCAGCAGCAGGATGGCGGCGAGAAGGCCAAAGGCTGGCATGTAGTAACTGATGGAAACAAAGTGGGACAGCGAGGGCAAGAGGTAGAAGAAGAAGGACTGGTGCAGGCGCTCCAAGAGGTTGTTCAGCTTGCGATACATTCCCTCCAGGAGCCTAACAGTGCACACACACGGAAGGAAACACACGTGTTGAGTACGTGTACACCCTTTAGCTTTGATTGCCCTACATTAGGACACTGGACATCAAAAACGTGAGGAATTTAGGTGTCAAAAGGTGGAGTCCAATTGGTGCTGGGCTGTTAATGACCGGTCACAGGTGCCCGAAGGTAGTGGACTCAATCCAACTCAAACGTGAGGCAGCTCTCAGAAACAGTGTTTACTGTTTAGAACATGTCATTTTTTTATTAACTTTTTTTTTTGATAGCGGCGCGGACACCTGCAACGGCTCCTCTTGTTTTATGTTGAGAGGGAAGAAATTTCATCTGTGCTGTGTTTGACAATAACGTTTTATCCAATCCAATCCAATCCAACTAAATCAGGAATTAATTCACACTGACAATTCAGTCTTCCGTGAAAATAGCAGGCATGTTTTGGGAATTTGGGAGTCGTAGCTGTCAGTGCCAGCCATAAATAAAAAAAATAAAATAAAAATAAAAAAAAGAGAGAACCTCGAGTACCAGGCAGCCAATGTAGAGCATTCTGATTGAACTTTCAAGGCTCCAGAATATTGCGTTTCAAGACTATATGAACACAGAAAGTATCAAATAAAAAAGTAGACTCTCCTCTTTCATCACACACAAAAAAGTGTTCTCTCTACCTTATGGCTTTTTTAGTAATCAGAAGTAAAACATGGGTTAGTTTCACCCAAATCACCTATTTCGGACCCCACAAAAAAAACAACAAAAAAATCTGACAAAAACAAATGAAAAAACAAACAGAAAGCAAGCTCTTTATGAAAAGATATTTTTTGCACAACAGTGACTTCGATGCTAATAATGTTTGCTTTAGTGATGTCAAAAATTCATGTTTCTACAATAGATCACCAGTTTATATTTGAAAAACTATGTGCACACAATGAGTAGTAGTAGTATTTAGTCGTATGTGTGTGTACAGTAAATACATTGCATCATCCCTTCAACTAATACATTTAAATAACCTTTTCTCATTTTTGTGACACTCTTTTTTGTACATTTCATGTGACAACCACTTTGATCACTCACAAGTTGCTTGTAACGTTCATGTTTACAAATAGTTTAATTTTATAGAAAATATTGGCTGCTTAATTATCATTTATTCAGACCACAGTTTCGTGAACATCATGCCTTAGATTGTGCGAACATGTTACTTACATCCCACATTTTTTACCCCCATTTATTAATAATTTTGCTGATAGGAGTTCGATTTCATCTTTTCTCTCTTTCGTGACACTCTTTGGAGTACATTTAGGTTGCCAAACAATTTGATCAATTTTCAAGGATCCGCCATCCTTTCCAATGAGGTGACGCGGCGGCGAGCTCCTCCAAACGAGACCCAATGCTGTTATCTGCTGGCCGCTTATTTATTTTTTTATTCATTCATTCATTATTATTATTCTTTTTTTTTTTTTACACCTTCCCAGCTTAAACGATCAAACCACAGTTGGGCAAGACTTTTCTCTAATTCCCATTGACGTAGTAGAAACATAAAACAAACCTGCCGACGGTGGTGGTGGTGGTCTTGTACTGGCGGTAGCTGTTGATGCCTTTGATGGTGACCGCCTCCACTTGATAACGCAGGAAAAGCCCGTGGTCGCCCCAAGAGTGACCGCTGGCCTGCTTGAGCACCATCAGCATCATCGTCTGCACGGCGTGGCTGTAGCCCGAAGGGCTGTCCCAGTCATTCCTCTGCAGCTATAACAAAACATTTTATTTAAAACATGAGTCCATGTATTTGTGACGCCCAGTCTACCTCGATTCAAGCCGCTTCTCTGCATTTCTCCACCAAAGTCCTTTTTCATAACTTGTTTGAAACTGGAATTTCACTTCTCATTTCAATTGTGATATTCTGAGAATGTTGGATAATAGCCCATTCCACTCCCAAGTGGTGTTGTTTTTCAATTTACACTACTTCCAAATGTTCATTTGCGATCAGGTTAAAACTCAGTTTGACATTGCTGTTTATGACGCAGTTTACTCACATTTGGGATCAAAGCACATTCACTGGATTAATGCTCATATCAATATTTTTATTGTCTATTATTTTAGTTGGGTTCCAAGATTTCCCAATGATTTCACTAGAATTAAATGAAACTTTAAAACAATATGTTTAGGTATATTTAAGGTTTAAAACATTTGTTCTATCCAACATGCAAACCTATGTATTCAATGCTGCTGTTTATGGTCTCATTTGTGTATTGTATGGCTGCGACATATGAAAAGAAAAATCGCATAATATTGATTTTTTTCACCAGGAATGCCCCATTGAGAATAAAAACCTCATTTTCAAGGGGGTGCTGGCCAAGTAGCAGCAAGATGTTACATTTTCAACATAATGTAACATCTTGCTGACAGACAGACAAGGCCAAAAAATTATTGACACTTTGACAGGCTGTAGACAGGAAGTTGCAACCTACAAAGGAGTATTCTACCCACACTGACAAAAACAAAAAGTATTTGCATATTTATCTTGAAGATTAATGTATTACAACAATGGAGTCATGTTTTTAAGTGTTTTATTTTTAAGTTTTATTTTAAGTTTTATTTTTAAGTGTTTTATATTTAATTTTAAAAACCACACTTAAAAAAGTATACAGTACTGCATTTGTATATTTTCAGGATAACTATTTTCTAGAAAAAAAAGTATCTTCAAACAGAAGTCATTTTCTAGATTTTTTATTGTTTTTTTTTTTTACAAAATTACATGTGTAAATTTCCACGAAAAACATATTTCTGAGTTACATAATGTGTAAAACGTGCAAATAATGCATTTTGCAGCTTTCCTACCTTGCCCTGGAATGTGCAAAGGACATCGAACTTTTGACAGAAAGCGTAGAAGAGGTTGACGAGGTCCAGGTTGGGCAGCTGCCCGTTCAGCCCCTCTAACACGATGTCCAGGCTGGTCACCACGTCACTGCTGAGCTCCAGGGACAGCGCCGCCTGGATGGCACCGGCGCGACCTTGGAGAGGAGACCACTCCATCCCTGCGCAAAGGAAGACCTCGATGACACCTGCTTGTCGGATCGCAGGTGTGCGCGAGGAGCAGTGGGGCACCTGTGATATTGGTGTGGTGGTATCCCTCCAGCCAGGCCTGCATTCCGATCAGATCGTGTTCATTGACCAGGAAGATGATGTCCTTGGCCCAGTACACCTGACCTATTAACAGCGCAAGTCATTCACTACATTGTGCAAAACCGAGTGAAGGTATAAGGACCTGATTTTCATTTTATGTTGTTGCACTCTGCCAACATTGGGGACAAGCCAGGGTGAAAAAGTGTGCGGTTGATGGGAAACGGTACTCTGTAATAATGCACATTACAAACACTTAGAAGACATTAACCAGATGGCATTACTTGTTTTTGTGTTTGTTTGTTTTTTTAATGCCGAGGACTGTTGTAGGGAAAAAAAAGAAAATAGTAATACTCCTCAGATTACATTTTTTAAAAATCTAGACACTACTGATTTTTCAAATTTATATTTGAATATGTTCACAGCATTTTTAATTTTAATGTAACTACAAAATAAAAATATTCTAAGACCAAAAAAAAAAACACCTAAGAATAAAATTGCTAAACATAAAAAAATAAATAACTATGGGCCTGATTTTAGACTGTTCTGCCTTTGCAGAGGTCCTCTCTTTACCGACTTCTTTTTTTCAACGTATCCCAAACAGACCACGTTTTTTATTTTAACACCACCATTTTATAAAATAAATAATAATAATAAATTGCCAATCGTTGTGTATGGCTGCTCTTTCTTGGCAGATGTCCTTTTTTGCTGTTTGGAAAAAAAAAACCCCGAAATAAACACAAATGAAAGAAACAAAAATATGGAAACAAAAAATAAAAAAATCTGCTTTGGCAAAGTTCCATTCTTTACTGAGAAAACAAATCTACTCAACACAAATAAATTCATCTAAATAACAACATAAAATGAAATCTAAGTGTAATTCATCTTTTCATTTGATAAAATTTCTACGTTTTGTACTTTTTCATCCTTTACTTTTATGCAACCAGAAAATACAAATTGTAAGCATCAAAAACAAACAGAAAATGCATTCATTTCAAATAGTAATCACATGGAATAAAAGAATAGTAACATTCATGTTGTGTGTATCTTGTGTCACAGGATTCTTTTGTGGGGGAGTATGGTTTTAACCTAATTGGTATGCGTTAATGATTGCTCTTCAGAATGGCAATTGAAAGAACAGAAAGAGTAACAAAGCTTTCGATGGTGATATTTCCGGGTGTATGCCAAACTTACTTCTGAAGTACTGCGCCAAAACCAGCAGCATTCCCACAGCCTGGTTGTTGTCATTGCCTTGACTGCACGGAGCGGTCAGCATCAGGGCTTCGGTCCGTGGGGCTCGCGGGGCGCGGAGGATGCCGTACACGTTTGTACCTTTCACCATCTTGCCAGGGAGAAAAGAAGACAGAAATGATGAGCTGAGAAGTTGGAATCAGAAGACGTGTGGGACGGGTTGCATTACAAATCTCTCTTTGTTTTCATCCGGGAAGGGGAGTGTGCGGGAGAAGCTCTGCGTGAACACTTCCAGGCCTCGATCCTGCATGGCTTTCACCAGCCAGTCGACCGGCATCCCACTGCACGCAAAATCTTTTTGTTCAAACTGTGTGCCATCCATCCGAACGTCATCGGTCTTACCCTGCTTTGTTCTTCTGTACCCCAAACTCCTTGGCCGTGACCAGCGCCCTCTCCCCGGCCTGAAAGCGCTCCTCCACCATGGTGGACCCCATGGCGTTCTCGGACATGTGCATGCGCAGGGTGAATGGCTCAAAAGCCAAACCCATGAACCAGGCCACGCCCGCCATGTAGCACACTGCACTGGAGGGGGTGAATAAAGAATGCGAAGATGAAGACAGCAGGAAGCATATAAGGACGACACCTCCAGGTGTTTATCTGCTTATTCTTGTAATGAAAAAAAAAAAAGTTCCACAAGAGAACATAAAAAAACATAACTCTACATAACCTTAAGTTTTGGAGAGTGTTTGTTTATTATCATGGGTGTTCTGGCTTTGACCAAATCAATATTTCACTTTTAACAAACTTCAACGTGTTATGAATTCCTCCACAGATGATAATACTGCTCAAAAGTGACTACAGTGCATAAAAACCAGATTGAACAAAGACGATTATGAACATTGTATTTTCCAGAATGGATATCATCAGACAATTTTACCATGACATATTTTGGCATTGCCTAGTTAAAAAAATAAAAATGACAAAGTTTATGTGTAAACAAAACCAAAAGCAATGAACTGCTTTTGTAACACAAAAAATGGGCAAGTGGCAATGTTTGGCATGAGAGAGACTGAGATTGCATTCCAACTTCTCTGTTTTACGGAAAACAATGTCAGGCTTACTCCGCTCCTAATATCTGTTCATAAGCAGAAGTTAAAATCATCATCAGTTGAAGCCCAAGTCCTGTTTCATTTGGAATACCCAGATGTTGTTTTTCTCTTACCTTAAACCAAGGATGCATTGGTTGTACTTGTGAAGTTTTGCCTAAGAATATATCCCAAGATGCTTTTTGTGCTGGTATTAAAATGTCTAACATGACAGCGGAGGAGAGCAGTCACGTTTTTAAGTCACATGATATAACTGCGATGAATTATGGAAGTATGTCAGAGTCATGGGGGACGTTCACAATTACGCAGACGAATTAAAAGAAGGCTAGCATTTGAAGGACGTCCGTTCTTTGAGACCGTTCTTACCAAGACGTACTCACAGAGTTTACAAGACTGTATTCTTGATGTTGAGAAACTGATACTGTCACTACTTTTGTGAACTAGTTCCTCTGTGTTCAAAGTCATGGTGTTGGTGCAAGCAACGCACGCCAACAAAGATGAGGTTTGAGCTATTGTTGAAAAGCATGACTACAAATCCGTTTGTATCATACATCAACCCTACCTTTGTTTATTGTCTTTGTTGTTGTTCAGGATATAAAGTACATGTGTAATTTCTTTTTCTTAAAAAACCCATGCATTGTTGTTTTAAGAATGACGTGAGTAAATGTTGAGGACATGAACTTAAGAGCATAATGAACACACCAGATTGGAGTATTGAGGCGAGTGAGCAGGCTGATCAATGCCCTTCTTCTCGTGGGATCAGACAGAAGTCCCATGGTGCTCTGGAATGAACCCTGCAATAAACAGAAAATATCAAAGTACATTTAAATCCATACACACATGTAAATGTGAAATAGACAGTACATTTGTTACACTTTCCGTTATCGCTACACCTGCTCTCAATGGCTTTTTTGACAACTGAAATTGTTCCGCACTCGGCTAACGAGCTAATTTCAGCACAGCACCGACAGATTTTGTTTTTCAAGCACGGGCACAAAACTACCATAAATTATTAACTGATGTTGTTTTGTTTTAAGAAACCAAGTGTTTTTAAAAAATACCCTTTTCCAAGTATGAATGCCGGGCAGAACGGCCTAACAAGGAAGCGTTGTGCACACCGCAGATTTGGATTTTCGTTGTTTCTACTCGGTGCATTAACATTGTGGACCTACTTCCGGTAATTAAAAAACAAATACAGGTAGTAAATTTAAAATACTAAAAAAAAAAAAAATGACAAAGACCATTTAAAAAAACAGATGTACCTTTTAGCCACTATAGTATTAGTGGTATAGTATATATATATATATATATATA